TCAACGGATGAAACCCGCTCCAAATGCAGCTGCGCCGCTGGCCAGCTTACCGGTACCCACTGGGTGCTGGCAGTCTATGAGCTCGGACCTTGTGTTTAGCCTGCCGGGAGATTTGGCGGGCAACACGGGTGTCGTAGTATTCGTCGCCCGGTTAAGCAACGAGGCTCATTTGGCGGCTGTACCAGACACCATCGACGGAGTCGGTACAGCAACGCTGTACGTGGATCGTGTTTTCCGTCAACGCGGACCCCCAGAGTCGATTGTCTCTGATATAGACGCCCGTTTCATAGGAAAGTTTGTTTGGTCGACTATCTTCAAGGTCTATGCACCAAGTTGGATATGTCGACAGCGGATCATCCGCAGACCGACGGTCAAACCGAAAGGGTGAATCGCGTCATCGAAGACGTTCTGAGGTGCTGAAGCGCTATGTTGCCACTCGTAGAGTCTGCACTGAACAATTTGGTGCATTCATCTACCGGCTACACGCCGTTCTTCGTGAATGGGATGATTCACCCTCGTGTCCCGCTGACGCCGCCATACCATGGCTCAGGGCTTGGTGAGGGGATAGCCGAACGGCTAGCTGATGTCAGCTCCCTCGGCATCCGTAAAGAAGTCGATGACTTCTTGTCTACCAGGCTGAGTGTCCTATACCACGTTCGCGATGCGATGGCTGAAAGCCAAGACCTGCGAAATGAATATGCAGATGAAAAAGGAAGAGGCAAAGGGGAAAGCTTTAAGGTCAGGGACTTGCTTTTATTGATTTTTAAAAACCTGCCTACACATGCAGTTTCTGCTTTCTTCAGGACGAAGCTTCGTCCACGGTTCATCGGACCGATTAAGGTTGTGGTCAAGCGGGGCCAAGCGGGGCCTAGTGTATACGCTGAACCTCTCAAAATGGATGCGCATCCACCCGGTGTTTTACGTGGGCTTGCTCAAGCCGTACCGGGATCCGGTGCAAGTGAACGCGGAAGCGTTGGCACCGGGGCGGATCCCACGGGCCCGCGGCAACCCAGAAGTCAAACCAGCAACAGGTTCTGAGCATGGAGTGCATCAAACTCCATTTCCAATGGAGCTAAGCGCTCCACCGTTCCCTGCAGCAATGCATTTGCCTGCTTCACAGGTAGGAGTCGCTCTGACATAGAGCGGTAGTTCTCAAGGCGAGGCAGCTGGCGCACGACGTGCTTTAAGTCGTCAAAAGCGTCCGCACAGCGATATGCTACTACAGCATGACGCTCAGCGGAGCTCCGATCATGAAGGACCTCGTCCTCAAGAGCTCGAAGAGCATCACGAGTCACCGGACGGTGGTCGACCCGGTCGTCACCGCCCGCCATCGACTCTTCTCGATGAGAACAATGACGTCCACTATTGCGTAGAACGTCTAGTGAGACGACGTCGTCACCAAATTCAAACCCAATATCTGGTGAAGTAACGGGAACTTCCCGACTCCGAAATCTCGTGTAGTTTGAGGCACCACTTCGGCAAGATTGCCCAGTCGCCGTGAAAGCTTTTGATCGGAAAGATCAGGACGTCCCGCGTCATCAGACGTCCCGTGTTTCCCGGCAATAGCCAGGGAAGTAGACGGGCCATGAGCTGTGCTCAAGCAGTGGCCCTGAGCTCTTGTGGTCGCAGGCACAGAGCTCGCGGGAGTATAGGGGTTGTTAGTCCATACGTCACAGGGCGACAATCCGAAGGAAGTCGGCGACGCGCCTTAAAGCGAAGATGGCGTTCCACGCGCGCTTCCACCTCCATGTGGCTCAACTGTAAGTTGTACAGCGAAGAAAGTTTCTTGTAGCGCTGTACCCATCAATCAAAGAGCTCTTCGCCATCTGCAGCGGTTTTGCCAGGGGCAAGTACCACAAGAATTGTTCGCATCGCGGTTACGGTAGCGCCTCCTCTTTGAGCACGAAATCGAGTGTGGTACGTATCCACTAGGATTTCAACAAGTGAGCTCGGAGAGCTTTTTGCTCGTCAAGCTCAGCTTGTGTAGTGGCCAGGAACTCGACGGCCTAGACGCCAAACGATCGAGTGATCGCGTTCTTTGCTTCTATAGCGGGATCCGCCGCACAAAAGCCGTATTCCACACGAGGGTTTAGGACCGACAGTGGATGCAAGCGCATGAGAGCCGCCGTGCAGGCAGCCTCTAGCTGCTGCTTCTGTGTCTCGTCGAGACAATTGGTAGTTATACCACTTCTTCGGAAGTCGAGAGTCGCGGGAAAAGAAGATGTCCGCAAGGTTCGAGCAGGGCTCACGTCGCACCGCTGGGGCATCTCGCCCTATTCTTCTTCCCATCATGGGAAAGGAGTATCCGACTCGTAGTTGACTTCCTTCAAATAATCGAAGAGGTAATCCATTGCCCATGGCGGGTGCGGTGCGCGGTCAGGAGTAGACATCGCGTCTGTGTTGTTGGTCGTGCGACCATATCGCTGACGATGCACTCGGTTACCGAGAGCTTGGGTTGCGCTTCCCTTGAAGCCGCGGAGGTTCTGTCCGAAGTTGCACCGCGTGAAGGTGACGAAGAAGGGGCTCTGCCCGCGGTCGTTTTCGGAACCAGCGAGGCTGAATGTCTTCTGTGCCCTCGATACAGGGCTTATTGGGCAGAGAATTCGTGAAGAAGGTCCTGATGTTGCTGTGGTGCCTTAGACTCGCGAGCATAGTTCGAAGCGACAGCTGAATGTGAAGTGTAGGTGTTCACAATCTTGAGTGTAACGGGGTTGCACGTGCCCTGGTAGGTAGGGTGTGGGTCACACAGGGTGGTGTGACCACACAATGGCGTGGCTATACTTAAAAAAGAAGTCGCCAGTAATTATACATTTAATTAGGTTTTACTAGGTTTTACTATATAGATACGAAAACCTATGAATTTAGTATTGGCGGCTTTTCCGCACATAAATCTGAAATATACAATTAACGTTCTTAAACGGAAGAGTTGATTAGCCTTGGATTAACGTTTTAGTTTCTCTTGAAGTAAGTGGATTGTGACCGCTACACTCACACTAGTTCTACGTACAGAACGGAGGTCATCGACCTTTACCAAGCTTCCTCCAAACGAAAGAGCAATGTCAGCCCCTCTGCACATTCAGTATAGCTGTACTGTGCAATTGTACGCAATTGACAACTACACCATGGGTAGTTGTAATTTTTCATGATTACCAAAATATCGATATTATGAAAAACTTTGTATTGTAAAAAGTAGGGTCCTTGATACACGAGGACTGGTTTCCGCACATCAATGAAGAATTACAGTTATCTGTAAAAGATAGTCAACTTGAATATTGAGTTTTACTTCAGGGACTTCAATCTTGAATGAATGTACTTTTACATAGCAGCGCGAGCTAACGGTGTCAGTAACGCTAGAGGCTCTCAACACCGCTCTTTGTAAGAGTTCACGAACCCAAACTCAACCTCTGGGCTTGTGTTAGTGCGGGCTCTTAGAGTCACAGCTTTCTCTGTGCAAAGTGCACGCAAACTCCGTAGTAATAGATATTCATATATCACTTCACTTAATGAATACAGATAAGCAAGCTCGGCTTCGTCTCGGAAGCGTTTAAATGCGCCAATTCAAGTCTGTAAATATTTGATATTACGCTCGTTCCACCTGCGCATCTATTCGATGAGTTATCGTTGTTCCAGAATCTAAATTCCATGAAAAGACTACAGCTGAATAGTGTGAGTTATCCTTCTGTAACTTTAACTCTTACACATTGACCACATCGATATTTGTCTAGAAATTTACATTTTACGTAAACTTTGAATTCGTAAAGTTTACAAAACCGACTTGAAATACCAGAACTATTCACCATGCTATTTAGCAGGATTTTGTGACAAGCTTTTAGAGCAGGTCCATGTTTAATTCTACGTCAAAATGACACCATCACCACTCTCATTGCTTAGCGCAACGCTTTTGTCCTCTGTGAACACAACAAATGCATCGGAGCAAGAACTCAATGATGTAGAGTGGAAAAATGTTGCAAAAGAACTCATGGCGCTGCGTGAGTATACGCAAGAGGAGGTCAAGGACCTGACGAAGGCACTCGATCAAGTCGAAACTCTGGATCAGACTAACACATCAGAACAGACTAGCAATATCTCAGTGGTGTTATCTGACATCAAGTCAATTCGCTCACAACTCGAGACTGCAGAAAAGCATTTTTCACAGTTGGAAAACGTCGTTCGACCTGGACTTTCAAAACTCCAAAATCTACACAGTCGAGCCACATATCTTGAAGCGGTTGTGCAGGTAGAGAAACTAAGTAATCAAGCCAAGCAACAAGCTGCACATGCTACACTGGATGCATTGGAAGCGTTTCAGAGTTTTGCCACGTATGCTGCTGCAATTCCCGACGAATATTCAGTCATCCGAGTAAGTATTTTCGTAGATAAAACGTTAAGCAAAGGCTCACAAACATTTTTATTCAATTTCTTGACACAGAAAAAAGCTAATAGTCGATTAGAGAAACTATCGGTTGATATGCGTCAATTTGCAATAGAGAAGCTGCAGCGAACACTTGAAAAGATCGGGTGGCCGGATCCATTAAAGACGCAGCAAGAGCTGCTTGATAAGGTATATTTTTCTACTTCTTATCGAACTCTAAATGCTTGACTTGGCTTTATTTATTACAGGAGACTGAGCTTTGTGATATATCACAAATATTTGAATATCTATTGAGTTTGCAGCTTACTCAACAATTTCAATCTGTAGTAGCGACAGAGAATCTATGGGCCATGGACTGCCTTTCGGGTCCATTGCTGCTGCGCTTTCGGTACCACTTTGAGCGACATTTAAGCGCGACAAATCGACTTTCAAAACCAGAGTGGTATCTTAGTTACGTACACGATCAAGTACAAGCCCATACGCGGTTTTTAGCGTTCACGCTTACTCCTGCATTGCATCGCCACCGCGAAAAACTTCATTGCTGGGATGCAAAGATCTTGATGCTGCGAGATCTCATCAAGGCTGCCAGCTGTAAACTGACGAAGGAGTTACCTACATTGGTAGCGGTACGTGCCAGAAAGTTAAATCCAGATTGCAGCCTCATATTTCCTTGCATCGTTTGTGTTTGATATGATTAGCATCCACCACTATTGTGCCACACATTGGATGAAGTGCTACTTTTTGAGCAGCAAATTGATAATGATTTTGGTTATGGATCGTGGTCTAGCGCAGACCGTCATGCCTATCCGCGTTGTATTGATGTATTTACTTCGAGCAATAACGTGCTGTTTGCTTGGACGAGCGTCGATGTTGAGTACGCACACCGCGTATTGGCATCAAGTTTAGAAACGGAATCGTCGACCGAAAAGAAAGAAGTAATGTGGGACTTGGAAGATAGCGATCGAATAGAACATTCTCAGCAAGAGCTTATTCCTGCCATAGCGCTTCAGTTTGTCGCCTTGATAGATTTTCTTTCGCAACGATTTCTACTGATGGATTCGGATGAACATCGGTACTTGTACGTCATGCAAGTCCACTTCCCGCTTTTAAATCGTTTTAGACAGCTATGTGATGTTCGCATACGCCAGTTGATCAGTGGTTTGACTAAAACTAGAACCATTGCAGATGTGCAAAGCAAATGGGGCGAGCTGTTTGTTGTGGTTAATGCACTACAATACGTCGCCCAAACGCTAGCGACCTGGGAGCAGAGTAGTGTCTTTCTGGAGCTATCGAGGAAGGTTGCACATTCCGGGAAAACGCGAGAACAAGTACTTCAAATGCATATGGCGTATACGAAGCAGGTCCTTGCACGAGCTTCAGCGGCTGTTCTTGCCACAGAAGAAGCAACAGCCGTACGACAAGCACTTGTTGGACCCGGTGCCATGATCGGACCAACGGCTGCTCTTACTGCCGTCTATACGGCAGGATCCGCTACAATGAAGAGCCTGTTTCACCGTGCAGAGAATAACGAAAAGATTGAGCATCAAGTAGCCGCTACAGTCCCATCAGTGGATAGTGCTACATCTACTGTCGCAGCAAGGGACGACAATAACATGATTTACGAACTTAACGACATCGATACGTTTATCTTTTCGCACACAATATTCGAGCGGCAGATTGGTGAGCTAAAGTCGCTAGCATTAACGTTGCTTGACGATGGTCAAAAAGCTCTGATGCGTGCAATGAAGCACGACATCGAAAATTATCGCTCAAGGTATCGTATCAAATCAATTTTGCTCAATCTATCTCATGTTTGTCTTATGTCTGAATGTAATTTTGCAGTCCCTTCTGGACGATGGTATCACTGTATGCTACAAATGAACAGCAGCTGTCCATTGTGTCTTCTGAACTGGCAAATTGTTACACACTCGTTTTCAACGTATTGTCGTGTGCGCGTAATTGTCTGTTGCAAGAGTGTTGGCCTGCTTTCTGGAAAGCTCTGGCTTCAGCTCTTGATGACGCGCTTTTTGATGCGTTTTACAACCGTGTTGGAATGCGTGAATCGACTCAATTGAGCAGAGCGGGACAACTTCAATTCATTTTTGATATTCAGACACTTATCGCGATTTTTGTGACAGACTCATCCAAAACGTTACCTCGTTCAAATTTTCGACGTACTCGGGATGTGTGTTTACTATTACAAATGTCGGAACCTCGCGTACATGAATTAGTTAAAGCTCTTGATGATGTGACAATCGTTCCAATTGAGCAAGTTTCGAGTATATTAGAAGCGTGTGGAATTGTCTCTCTCACACCTCCTCAGATCGTACGGATTTGCACCATCCTACAAAATGTTGACGGGCACGAATTACCAACTGCTATTTCAGCCTAACATATGAATTTATTCATGGGCATTCGCAATTGATGGATGGGGTTGTAGTAGATCCAGTTTTTAACATTAAAAAGATCAAAAGTATTCTCTGATTAATATGTTGTTGTTAAATCTATCGACAATATGGTTCATCAATATAACCATTTAAAGACATGACAGCACCATCCAATACACGAGATACATCTGTGAGATTGCCTAACAATTTCAGCAAAGGTGACATAATATCGACATCAGTTACCATACGAACAACTAAGCTCGTTTCCTCATCCCAAAAAAATCTCACGGAACAAGGATAGTTGAGTTTGTGGCCCAGTAGTTTCACTGCAAGTGACAGATCGTCGACGTTTTCAGAGCTCATGAGCCGTGGGAAGACGTACTCCAATGTTGTCTTGCTTATTGTCACGCTTAAGATTGCTGATGCCGTGACAATACTTTCAGATACTTTATCCATACCTGTAAGATGTAAATGTAGGTCTTCATGGTATTCGGACAATCGTCGCCAATGCTCCATAAGAACCTCGACGCCACATAAATTCCCAAACTCGACATCTGGTGCCATTGTTGATCGTAAGAACATAACTTGGTGCTGAGATTCTGAGGCACGAAGCACATCGTTAGAATCTACAGATCCTTGCATATACGTATCGCCAATGCCGTAACGAAAGAGCTGAAAATACTCAACCACAACATCCCAAACACGTTGTTGTGAGTCGTAGCGAAGACGTCGCCGTTGTACTTCTAACAATGGAATTTCACTTCGAAGCTGTGCGACTTTCGCCTTAAGAGTCGAGACGTATTCGCGCTGTTTCTGACGGTATCGAGCTTGGTTGGTGCGGCATTGTTCCCGACAAGCCTCTGATTTCAAACTCGCTCTGCGCTTTCTTTTTTGCATTGATACCGCATTCTTTGTGTGATTAATCGATAAGGAAGCCACCGCAGATGCAGTAGATTGTGCAGGGGACTCCATTGCCTGCGAAGAATAACGTGAAACTACTTCGCCATTTCGATCTCTCGAGAAACCTGTGGTAGATGATTCCGTGACAGCTCTTCTTTGATTTCTACCTGGCACTGAGCTCTGTTCAAAGCCCTCAATTCGTTCAGCGAAACTTGTTGTGTACCCGGTCGATTGCGTAACTTTCCTGAGCGGGGGTAGAATTACAGTGGAAAAATATGATGATTGGATCGGTCGTTGGTCCTGTGTTGTTCCGTCCGAGTTCGAGGTATGATTGCTAGTATTTGCGACACTGTACCGAGGGGCTGCCGTGCGTGTGAGTACGTTTCCAATCACGGTATCGCTGAAAGGTGTAGGAAGGTCGTCTAAATTTCTATGGCTAGCCATCATCGCTGTTTCGGTATTAAGGTGTTGACCCAAGACGGTGAAAATGAGGTTGTGAAGACTTGGGAAAAATCGTTGTGCTGCGTTATCAAAACTTGTCCAACCACGGGCGGAGTATAAAGCTGTGCCAGCTGGCAATTGCGACGCGCTCTCTTTTCCTTGCCGTCCTAGCGCTTAGCTTAATCGCGTCAGGCGTAAACAAGCCAAGTACTCTGGTGATTTGAACAATCACTTGGTTGCAAGGGGCTTATGCTCGATTTTGCTCACATGAGTCACACTGAATTCGAAACCAAACAAGCCAACGGCTGGAAATCGTCTAGAAGTGTCCCATATGGTGCCCGTCATCTCGTCACCCCGACAAGACCACCAAATGACTAGAAAGAATTTTAAGAGCTGGAATACTCAAATCTCTAGATAGCTGCAAGGTACATGTACAGTATGTAGTAAGTATTCTCTTTTTGACCAGGTTACTCGGACCGCATGTTTAAAAAAACCATATCGACCGACCGAATTAATAATGAAAGAATTTTCTGGTCTCGTTAAGAAGTTTGATAAGATCTACTAGAACATTGAGACAGGCACAATGCAGAATGGTCAATTTTATAATCTGATCACCACCATTCGACCATCTTGATATGCTGCAAAGAAACGAAGTCAAATTAAGGAATTTTAAAAACCACACAACAATCCTGATTTCTCGAATTCACCGCACATCACACGATTTCCGACACTACGAAAGCGACATCACCGGATGCCTTACGTAAAGGGTGTCTTAAACATGCATCAGAGTTTGAGTCGGAACGTGCGGTAGATTCCGTGCGAGAAGTACGGTGCAGCTAGAAACAATGCTACTATACCGGTAGCTAAGATGGTTGATTGTGTGACATATTAATCTCTTCATTAACATAAGTGCTATGTGTTTGCCAGTTCGTCAATTCCAAGCGATTTACAACGTCCAAATGTGAGAAGGTGCTTTCGTGTTAACCTCGTCTGTCCCGCAAAAGTTTCTCTTGATTCTGGTGAACCCTGTCTAAGACATGTACTCCAAGGATACTGTTGCTCTACATCCAGCCATTTTTTTGAGGCTTTAAAGTATATTACGTCCCAAAATTTATTGCTCTTGGTGCGTATTACTCACCAAAAATTTACGAGAGAACTGGTTTACACTTGGCAAGCCCCTGTTCAATAAGGTAAAGTTGGTATCTCCCTTCAAAGTGAACTCTTACTGTGGAATTGGACAATTCCTGCCCAAAAATTGACTGTGCAATGAGCGTAAAGCGGCTTGTTACATGTAAGTAAACCACTGTATATTCGAGCTAGATGTAATTTGAGCGATGAGTTGCAATTGCTGCAGAAACAATACGACAAGTGCGTGCGACTTTAAGACGGTCGTTGTCCTCTATACATCGACGCTCAAAATGACACAATTGCGATCATTTAGCTCAAATTGCGTGTTAGATTTCAATTATATCTAATGTCTTTGAGCGTTTATGAAAAGCAAAAGGGAGTTATGCACAGAATTCCTTAAACTGCGTAGAAGCTTTCGTACTCGTCTTGGGCTTAACCCGAACGAATAAAAGTTGCACATATTCGATAAGAGTTCCAGTTTTTTTTTGTGATTTGACAATGATGCTGATAAAAAGATGCAGTGCTATCTTAGCAGCATAAAAACCGCCACAAGATCACATCATTGTAGGGTTCTCGCGCATGTACAGCTCAAGGTCGTAGGGCAGTCGCACCATCATACGTTTGCGCAGCTCAAAAATATTTTTTTCTCGCGAATTCCATGCTTGAACCAAAATTTTGATCAACTAATGATAAAATAAGGTACAGGTTCTCATATCATGAAAATTCGGTCACAATATCTTTTGCAAGTACACAATTAAGTGCTGTGATACATAACAATACAGCTATCATCGTAATATTCATGTATTGACTTGCAGCAGCATTTTAGTCAATAACATAGCACCACACTCACAATAACATCCTGCGCACTGGATGGTATTTGTACAGATACTGCGCGCCCTCTTTAATCTTGTCCGAAATCTCAAGATAAGAAAAGCTGTGATGGTAAACTGAGTGAAGCCCGTAATCGATTACTACAGTTGTCAAAAATTGCCCTTCTCCTCTTCATTTGAAATTTTCCCAGAAATAAAAACAGCAATCTTGGCTTCTTACATAGAGCATAAAATACGGGGAAATACAGTCACGCTGGCGTGATACTGTATTACCAGCTAGAAATTTTCCGTGTCAAAATGTCTCGTTTTTACGCTGGCTGTATTGCAAATCATGTGCAGCTGGAATTAAATCTTAGTCGGGCCACCTTTTAACTAATTCTGAAGCTCATCTTCGTAATTTATCGTGCTATAGTTTTCAACTTCAATTTCTTCTGACCTTATTCTTTACTGTCTACATTTACATAAGATCGAGTGTTAAAGTAGATCGATGATGATCAAATACTATCAGCCTGACTAACTTGGCATATCTTCACTTGACTTGTACCCTTTTTCGCACATAGCAAGCCTTCGATTTGCTATGGGATACTATATTTATAACTTTGATCCGAGTTTGTAACTCGGGATTTGTCGAAAAGGACCACTTTAAGCTCAGAGGTTCCCGATGAGTTCGCAAGATAAATATACACAAAAAGGCCGGTGCCTAGGACATATATTTTATCTATGCTCAATTACTATGAGTTTGCCATTTGTTTGGATTCTATTGCATGAGAGTCTTTGCGGGTATGATTTGGAGCAAGTGCTTTTTAGCTTTTGGTAAAATACATAAAATGACAGATAAGAACACAAAACTAGAGCTACCACAACCATGTGATCGATTAAATGCTTGTCTATGAATAGTTTGATCTTATATACTACAGCGCTGATATCATCCGATACAACGTAGAGCTACAAAATTAATAGCTGGTGTGATAAGTTGACAGTGGCGATAGCTGACATTGACATTGGTATTGGTTTATTGCGGCTTGATTCTCTCGACATTTACGTTGCAGCAAGTGTCAATCGCTACATATCCATAGGTACAGCAGGTTGTGCTCGACGATACAATCACTGATCAAATGATTATCGCTATTTCACCATGTAACGTAGTGACTTCCTCGTCAGACTAACGTAATATGTTCGATTTCGATTGACAAACACTTGTTATAATGCTAATAATAAGTGGCAGATAGTTATCTCACTAGTGCACACCATGAACTCACACATGAAATTTGCTATTGTCCTAATGCATGCAACAATATCACTTTGAATCAAGAAGTTCGTACGAGCGTTTCAAAGAGGACGTACGCACTATCGAGAAGCGAAATATTTAGTTCGCTTTGGCTTTCTTAATTAAGTACAATTTTATCTGATACTAAATGTGTCTGCTCGTCGATGCTTAATTATAATATTATGTTTGAGATTAACATCTCTATTACAGAGTAATAATGCAACGGAGTTGCCGTACATTGCACAGAGAAAGATTTGACTCAAAGAGTCTGCATAAACAACGCACAGGCAATATTCTGTGAAGTTACTGTAACGTGATCCATATTGTGTACGCACACCTTACACTTTCCGTACAATTGCGCAAAATGTAACGTTGTTTAGCTGTTGACTTTTACAAGATTCGCATAGCACTTTTTTGTAATTGAGAAGTGCCGAAGTATCGATGCCAATGAAGACGATGTTACTACGTGAGAAATGAGTGGTATGTGGGACATGTGTGCTGTTAGCTAGCTTTTTAATTTAAAACATAATCGTATTTTTTAGCACCAATGGTATTGCTTAGTCAGCTACTATGCGTGGCGCGCCCATCGTGCGAAGCAGTCACGCTCCGCGAACGTGTTGGCGAGAAAAGTTTTTACTCGTGAACGAAGTAACCGAGGTGACTCTAAAGTGAAACTTCTCTTCACTACAACCAGCCAAAGCTCTCACTGAGCTTGAGGAATAGACCCGGTGGCGGTGGTCGAGTGGTCAATGTTTCTGGACCTAACGCTGTGTGGCGCGGGTTCGAGCCCCTCAGCGGAC